GGCACTGTGTGTGAGCAGAGTCCTCGGGACCATCTTCATGCACCACTGTATAAAAGTGGAAGTGACATGGCTTCTCCAGATGCACAGATGTCCATGTGAGGAGCACAGGAATGAAACTCAAAGAAAATGAACAGCAAGAGGTAGTAATAATCCTCCAATAACTGGCGACAGTGAAAGTTTATGAATTACACAAAAAAGAATTTGAAATCATGACTTTGAGGGACCTGAGTGGCTATAAGTAGATGTTCAGTGGAAGAGGAAAACCAATTCATTGCCTTAACGACAATTTCAAAGGAGAGATTCACATCCACTTCAAGTGAAGAGGCAGCCTTTGGATGGGAAAATTTTTTCACCAACTATACATTTGACAGAGGGTTAGTATTTAGAATACGCAAAGAACAGAAAACAAACATCAAGAAACCAAATGACGCAATTAAAATTAGAGTAAGGAGCTAAACAAAGTTCTCAAAAGATAAAACACAAATGGCTGAGAATTTTAATGTTTAACATCTTTAGCCATCAGGGAAATACACATTAAAACTACTTTGAAATTTCAACCTACCCCAGTCAGAATTGCTAAGCTCCAAAAAACAAAGGATGACAAATGCTGGTGGGGATGTGAGGGAAGGGGAACACTTATTCATGGCTAGTGGGAGTACAAACTGGTGCAGCCGCTCTGGAAGTCTGTGTGGAGGCTCCTCAGAAAGCTAGAAATAGCTCTACCACGTGATCCAAAGGGCTCTGTATCCTACTATAGAGATACCAATTCATCCACCAATTCATCCACGTTCAGTGCTGCTCAATTCACAATAACCAGGAAGTACAAATAGCCTGGCTGTTCATGAACTAACGAACTGATAATGAGAGTATGGTGCATTTACACAATGGAATACTGTGCAGCTGTTAAAAATGAAATTATGAAATTCACAATTGTAAGATGACGCTGTAAACAATCATCCTGAGTGAGGCAACCCAGGCTCAGTCAGACACACATCACATGTTATATCTCCTAAAAGAATGCCAGGTTTCAATCTTTGAATATGTTTTTTTCAATTGGAAAATCCACAGAAATCAGGAAACCAGTAAGGAGACATGGGATGGGACAACAAGGGAAGTGGGATAGAATTCAGTGATAGAAAGGTGGAAAGGAGCATAGAGGACTATGAAAGACAAATGGGATAAGGAATGGGAGGGGAGGGTGGGGGTATAAAGGATAACTGACCCTAAACTCCTTTGGAAAAAGTCATATGGAAACATTACTGTAGGAACTTCTTAAAATACACACACACACACACACACACACACACACACACACACACGGTATTCTAAAAGTTTAAATGGAGTTACCTTATAACAGGTGTAGGGTATCAGGGAAACAATGCCTCTACCAGACACCACAGGCTAGAAAATAAAAAAGCCCAATGCAAAGAATGGACTTCTTTTGGAGTTGCTGACTGGAGGATCCCATAGACCCTCAAACACTTGTTCTCGATTATCCACCATAACATGGCAGTAAGACCCTAATGCTGAAGACACTTCGTGTATGAGTTGTAGAACAAACACAGAAGTCAAGCTGGTGCTACCTCCAAGCTTCATCCACACTCCTGGTTTCCATGGTGCTGGAAGGTGCTGTGCATGCTACTGGCAGGTAAACGTAATCAAACCTTGCTAAGCTGTAAGTCATGTGAGCCACAACCGGCCTGGCAAGATCTGCCCACTGATACAATAGTGGCAGGAATATTAAGGGAATAGCCATCCACTTTATAATTGGATTTAGTGTCTGCTTAATAAAACAGAGCCTGTACTTGACAGTGATATACAGGCTAAGCATGTCACAGGCCATAGGAGAAAGCCTACTACTGTTATTCGGCAAAATAAACACAGCATTAAACTGATTCCTAACAATTTGTCGTCTAATCCATAGATAAATGCATCTCTCAACTCATGCCAGAAAAGCTTCCGCATGCAGCAGATGGTGAATAATGTGGAGAACCATAACTGACCAAACTGCAGAGAATAAGAGACTGCAGAGTGCTTATCCCTCGCTAGGACACCTGTGTCAAAACTTCCGCCTCCCAAGGCTCTGGGATCATTGCAGAAGAGGGGCAGCAAAGATGGTAAAAGCCAGAGGTGGTACATGACCACAAGGAAACAGGTTCCCAGACAGCTGGTCAGTTGTTCATATGAACTCACAGCAATGGTGACAGCATGGACAAGTCCCACGTAAGCTCAAGCCAAACAAAATCCCAGCATAGAGGTGGGGAAGCGAGTAAGAAAGCCCAATCCTAACTGAGCAACTACTGGCCACCTATGGCTGTGGAAGGAGGAGAGTTGGTTTTCCTATAACAGTGTGACTCTGGGCATATCACTTTAGTGGATAGACACACACGGAAGGGCATTAGGGCACATAAATTTGATTTGATAGTCCTTACCAAAAAATTATATATATATATAAATTTTTGAATATATAAATTTGAATATTATTATACTGAAAAAACATGCTGAATCTTCTTTAAACCAACCCATTCCACAAGGAAAATACACAAGGCCATAGCTGGCCTCACTGGTAAATTCTACCATTATGCAAAATTAATTAATAGTAATAACATTATACTTTAAAAGAATCATAGAGAAGAGGTCTTTCTGTTTTTTTATGTCTTCCTTAATCTCTTTCTTTAAGGATTTAAAATTTTCATTGTAGAAGTCTTTAATGTCTTTGGTCAGGTTTGTTCTGAGATACTTTATTTTTTTTGCAGCTATTATGAAGGGGAGTGCTTCCATGTGCTCTTTCTCTGACTGCTTGTTATTGGTATATAGGAAGGCTTCAGACTTTTGTAGATTAATTTTGTAACCTGCCTATTTACTGAACATGTTAATAATTTCTAGGAGTTTTCTGGTGGAATTTTTGGCATCTTTTAGATATAATATTATATCATCTGCAAAAAGGGATAATTTGATCTCTACTAATTATTACTCCTTTAATTTCCTTCTCTTGTCTTATTGCTCTTGCAAGAATTTCAAGCACTATGTTAAAGAGGAGTGGAGATAGTAGACAGCTTTGTCTGGTTCCTGATTTCATTATAGTCAGGTGTGGCAGCACACACTTTTAATCTCAGCACTCAAGAGACAGAGGCAGGCAGATCTTTGTGAATTCAAGACCAGCCTGGTCTACATAGTGAGTGCCAGGCCAGCTGGGGCTGCAGAGAGACCCTGTCTCAAAAGACCAAAAAATATTATTAAGGATTTATTTTTGCTCATGTGTGTGTGTTTGTGTGTGTGCATGTGTGTGCATATATGAATGTCTTCCACATGGGGGAGGGTGCCCTAAAGGACCAGAAGGTATCAGGTCCCCTGGAGCTGGACTTGGGAGCTGCCCAGCTTGGGTGCTGGGATCTGAACTCAGGCCCTCTGGAAGGGCAATGAGAACTCTTAATCTCTGAGTATCTCTTCAGCCCCTGCATGCTTAAAATTATTAGGGGAGAAATGAGAAGAATGAGGGCACTTTAAATGGGGAAACCATGGTGGAAGGGTTCGACGGTGAAAGAGATAAATAATGCCTAGTTTTAAAAAAACAGAGGGAACCACATTAGCCCAACAACCTACTGAAAATTGTACATACAACTAGATCAAGGAACATAATATATGTCTAGGCAAAGTTTATCTGAAAACGTTTGGTCTTTGTCCAAGCTTTATCTACATAGCACATGGTAAGTAAAAGTACCAGACTGGTGGAACTAACCTTCTTGGATGTTTAACAGACATACTTTGAGGCCTATACTAATCTGGTCAGAGGGACTTAAAGGACAGTTTTTGCTCCTTGCCCTCCAAGGTCGACTAAGTTCCAGGGGACTATGGATCATCTCTCAAAATGTCCTGTAACTGTGGTGAGTCACCTGTCCTCTTGATCAAGGAGGCCATGGAGACCCCACCAGATGGACTTGAATCAGTGTCTAGTCTACAAAGAGGAGGGTCAACACAGAGGAATCATTTCCTCCATGCTTCCAAGTGAAGCCAACCATGATCAAGCAGGACCTTTGACTTATCTTCACATAGATGGCACTGGTAAAAGAAAGTAGCCAGGGGCTCCTCCCAAGCCCATGTGACCCCTGGGGAACAGATCCTCAAACGAAAGAAGAGATTAAATTATCCCTTTTTGCAAAAGGAAAATATAACCAAATATTAATGGGGTCAATATAAGTTTTTAAGAGTCCATATGTATATCTAAAGGCTACGAAACAAGAAACAATGCCAGACAGGAGATACCTTTGAGTTGTTGGCCAGGATGGCCCAAGAGACTCCCAGACAGTAACCCAGCATAGAACTGGGAAAATGAACAGCAGACCCCAATCTTATCTAAAGGAATGTTGACAATTGATTGCTTCTAGATAAGGAAGAGCTGAACCCTAAATAGGCTGACTAGACTCAGCTGATGGACTAGCACTGGGGAACGGCTAGAAGCAATGATAACACAGTGGACAGTAATAGGGATGACAGAACATATGGACTCCAGTGGGGAACAGGAGAGGCTATGGGAGGGTGACATTTAGGATGCAGCTATAAAGACGAATAAGATGGTTTGGGATGTTCCGTATGAAATACACACAAAAAAATCAATAAACAGCAAACAAAACAAAACAAAGCAAAAATATTTTTTTTAATCATGCAACTTGGTTGTAAACTAGCACACCATGGGATATAGCTCCCTTCAGAAATACAGACTATGGAATAGCCTATCATATTCACTATACTTCATCTTATGCAGAATACTATGCAGTCTAAATAGAAATGTCCAATGGTTCATGATAAATTAGAGAATGGGGAGGTTTTAAAATGCTTACTTGGTTAGAATTAAAATACCTACACATGATTATGTAAATTAAAATACAGAAGAATTATAAATTCCTCAGTGTACTACCTAAGCATCAATTGGCCAACAGTCACAGAGACTGGCAGAGGTGTAGGGTACCTCTATGCAAGCAGACCCTGCTGTGGGTACTAACCTATGGGCAGCCAAAATCCGTCATCTAAGCTTCCGCCAGGAGATGATGGTGTCATGTCACACTCTGGAGGCGCAAACCCAATTTCACATTGACAACTGTCTAAGTTGTTGCAAATCTAAAACAAAATCCAAATGGAAAGTCAGTTCATCAGACACATTCATTCATATATCACATAAAAATCAAAACATTATTTGTGACAATTAGACCATGTGAATTATTAAAATATTATAATTTAGTTTAAGCAATTTTGACATAAAGGTAAAGTTTAAATAATAGCGATCAGTAAATTTGCTTGCTCTATCTTTTTAAAATCCAAAGAATTATCACGTTTCTAAATAAAACTAGTAACATTCTTGATATGATTGAGATAACATTCTAGAAAGGTATAGCGATTGCAAAGCAGTGGGCATAAGACCTCAGTTTAGAATTTATCACTAATTTACAGTAACAAGTGACAGCGGTAGGAGACAACTCCCGTGAAACACGCAAGGAAACAGGCCAGAGGAGATGACTGCGGAATCAGAGGCAGACACCAACACTCGTGCAGAAGCCAAGAAAGAAGCTTCATGCTTGACAAGTATGCTGGTTTCAGTGGAAGTGCTCTCCAGGGCGTCCAAGGGTTTGAACACTTGGACAGTTGGTGCCACTGTTTTGGGAGGTTTAGGAGGCGTGGTCTTGCTGGGGGAAGCCAGTCACTAGGATGGACCTCGAGAGTTGATAGCTTCGCGTCCAACTTTCGTGTTCCCTCTATGCTTCCTGTTCGTGCATACTTGGAGATGTGAGCTCCCAACTCTCTGCTCCAGTCACCTCTCCCACCATGCCTCTGCATAGAGGACTCTTGTCCCTCTGGAATGTAAACCAAATAAACTTTCCCTTCTATAAATTGTCTTGGTCATGATGTTTATCACAGCAGCAAAAAAGTAATATCATAAGTAAATGGAAAAGGAGGATCTGGAGAACAGCATAGAGTCCAGACATAGATTCACACAAAACATTACTCTATAAACATCTATAAACATCAGATTGAAAGAAGACAGTGACCACACATTTAAAGAATAATGTATGCTTGAAATATGTTACAAAATTTCCACAACTCAGCACTATTTGCAAAATAGAAATAGGCCATTCATGGCTGAGAACTAGATCATTAATTACTAGATAAAATCAAGTCAACCATGTATCCAGCACGTTAGAAGAGGTTAAGCTAGTCTCACGAGAGTATGAGGAAATGTACATTCTCATGCAAGATATCTGGATACAAACTGCCTAGGACTTGCTAAAGAGAATTTGAATGTCACGTATATTTGTCTCATTAGATATCAGTGCTCATAAAGAGAAAACAGTATGTGCTAAATGCACATTGAGGTGTGCTGTGCCAGCCCCGCTAACAGTTAAATGCTATTTGAAAGGCCATCATTATATGAATTCTTGAATGCAGAATAAAAGACTCATGAAAGGAAATGAACTGAGGTTGCCAAAAGATCAAACGAATCTGAATGAACCAGCAACTCTGCCATGTTCAGGTACATTAAATGACTGGGCACACTGATGGACACAGAACGTACCTATGCACACAGTGTCAATAGCACAAGCAGGCATGCATGAATGTACAGAATACACATAGTGCTTGATAAGTCTACTTCTAAACTTCTGAATCTTTCACAATTTATTTTTGTTTATCATTTAGAGCAGTTTTCCCAGTCAGCCTGTAACAGTCTGATGGTGCATATAGATTGTGTGTGTGTGTGTGTGTGTGTGTGAATAGTAGAATCTACATTCCTTATTTAACTGATATTTTACAAAAGCAATTTCCACATCAAATAATTCTGAACCTGCTTATCTTGGAAATGGTTTATTCATGTGCATTGAAACATTCATACTTTAAAAAAATAGAATGGTTACATGCCCCATGTCCTTGGCATTTCTCCACTGAGCTGCAATTCGAGTGTTTTGGAACGCTATGCACACTTCTGCAGTAGCCTTGAAGACAAACCTGAAAAGCAAGTAAGCTAAGAATGTTAAAGTGACCTCCGCAGAGTTGCACAACATGGGCACACTCACACGCATGCATGCAATACACTCATACACATAAAATAAAAATAATAAAATGAAAAAAATTTTTAAAAAGTGAACGACAGAAAGTTTAAATAAAAAGTCTAATTAAAGAATTATATTTGATATAAAAGCTCTGGACAGGGGTGATATACAACATGGCCTAAGATATATTTCACAGCTTTCTAATAAAATAAGGAATCACTACTTAGTGTGCTCTTATACTTTATAAAATATGCATTTTGCAAATGAGATGAAACTTTTCCCCTGGAGGAACAGAACTACACACACGTTATAGTGAATTGGCGTGAACTTTAGGATCCTATTATGCGTGCATTGTCTCCAACTGTGAAGACACTTTTCATCTTTCACCTTGGCAATGTGACCTGGAGCAAGTTATAGAATCTCTCCATATCTCAGTTTAAATCATCTTTAAAATCAGGGCCATGTAAACGTACGTCACAGGTTGTGAGGACAGAATAACTTCTTCTACACAAACGAACAACAGTAATGTTTGCTTCTCTTGCCTGGGAGCCAGATTAGGTTCCCAGAACCCACAAGGTGGCTATCAACTGTCCTTAACTCCAGTTCCAGGAGATCTGATGCCCTCTTCTGGCCTCTGTGGGAATTGCAGTCACCTAGTGCACCTACATACATGCAGGCAAAACACTCATACACATAAAAAATAAATAATTTTATCTTGTTTTTTTATTTTATCATTTTTAACTTTTACAAAAACTTTATTGAGAATTTCATACATGTATATAGGGTGTTTTGATCTAATCCATGCCCACTCCCTCCCTTCCAATACCTCCCATATCTCCTCATCACTTTTTTCTTTTCCTTGAAGGAGTTAAGAACTTTCTAGATTTTAGATAAAATTGATGGTCACCATGGTCATCGAAGGAGCAAACAGCATATGAGGGGAAGCACACGGAGTATAGTGGCTAGAGGAACCCCGAGGGCCGAGCTATCAGTGCTCTGAAGAGCTGCTGCTCATGTAGTGGGAGAAAGAGCTCCAGGGACAGGATGAAGAAGGATGGCTGACAGGGCGCAGCCACTAGGGCCTACTACAGCTGCATGCCAATGTCCAGTATCTCGCTAGATCACCACAGAATGTGCTGTTCAGCTGACACTGGCCTCAAACTCAGGATCCTCCTCCCTTTGGGAAGTTGAGACCAGTCAGGGCCACAAAGGCAGTGAAGGCCAGCCTGGGTTACATAGGAAATTGAGGCAAGCCCAGGTTACAAAGCAAGACCCTGTTAAAGAAAATGAATGAAAGATTTATAAGTTATAAGGGCACAGATGAAATATTCCTATTCCAAAAGGGAAAACTTAAGTAGGATGGGGATCAGATTAGTATCCAGGATGCATCAAGGCAGATGTGGCCCCACAGGGCAGGCATAACTCCGTGCCTACAGCTCACCTGGTGACAACCACCTGACCACTCTCTGTGACTGGCTTTGCCCTTGTCTGGTTTTGCTACTGGCCACAGTTTCCCCTGACAGACATTACACATTCTTCCTGCCTCTAACGGCCTGAAGTCTCTTTCGTGGCTTTAGTTTTTCACATCGTTCTATGGGGGCTCCTCCAGGTACCCCCCATTCTACATACTGTCCTGCTTCAAAGGCTTCCCTTTGAACTTGTGGTGGAAACTTCCACAGCCCCACAGTAAATCTGGCTAAAACCAGTCAGTAACAACCATTCTGTTGCCTGCGTGATGTGCTGACTTAAAGTTTTCTCTGCCATATACACTAGCCCTTCAGTTCTCAGCCTCCAACAAAGCCTCCAGAATGGGCAAAATGACAACCAAATTCTTTGTGCAGAAGTTTGGCCTCTTTCTAATTCCCAACAGAAGCCTCACCTCCATCTCAAGCCTCATCTACACAGCCTTTCCTGCCTGCATTTCTGCCGCTATGCTCACAACTATAGACTCTCACCAGAACCACAGATTAAGGCCCACTTAAAGCACTGTCCTATCCTCCAACCATTTCCAAATTGTCAATGTGTAACAGAACAGAATAAATAATTCCAGAGAAGAAATAAAAATTAATTTATAAAACATGACCCATGTCTTACCAGGAAGAAGGAACTTTGCCTCACTCGGAAGTCTTCTGGGGTCTGGGCTTTGACATGCAATGTCAGCAAAGCCCATCAAGCCTCCCTTCCTCCATTTCGCCTAATCCATAACAACCCATCCTTTTTGCACGGGGTTTTAAATTCCAGGGAAGACACATTTTGATGCTTCCTCCTGCCTTTGCCAATCACTTTTTACTTACAAACTTGGTATGTTAACAGGGACACAGGAGATTGTGAGGTGATTTTCTAAGAGAAAGATAGAGCAAGTCTGCATCCCACACATTCTTTAAGAAGCAGATGAGATGGCCCTCCTCTTTGTAGACTGGACACTGGTTCAAGTCCATCTCATGGGCTCTCCATGGCCTCCTTGAGCAGGAGGACAGATGACTCACCACAGTTACAGGACGTTTTGAGAGATGTTCCATAGTCCCCTGGAAATTAGTTGATCTTGGAGGGCAAAGAGCAAAAACTGTCCTTTAAGTCCCTCTGACCAGATATAGGCCTCAAGTATGGCTGTTAAACATCCAAGAAGGTTAGTTCCACCAGTCTGGTACTTTTAACTACCATGTGCTATGTAGATAAAGCTTGGGAAACCACCAATCATTCTCAAGTCAGAGGAAATATTTCCTACATGCTTCCAAGTGAAGCTAGCCATGGTCAAGCAGGACCTTTGACTTATCTTCACATGATGGATCTGGTAAAAGAAAGGAGTCAGGGTCTCCTCCCAAGCCCATGAGACCCCTGAGGACAGATCCTCCAATGACCTAAAGAGTTGAAATAAATTGGTTTATTTGGGCAAACTGTATGGTCTTAAACACCCAAAAGGAAAATATAATCAAAGATTAAAGTGATCAGTATATTTCTTTAAGAGTTTAATGAGTTAAGTCCATATAAAATGTTATTTAGACAATTATTTCATTGATGATTTTGTTCCTAACCAGAAAGTGCTGCTCAGATGTAAGATTTCAAATCTTGGTCTGCAATACTGTAGTGCTCACCTGTAGCTAGGGGAGACAACCAGCTATTGTTCTAAAACGATGGCTAAATTTGTTTTCTCCCACTATCTAGAAGCCTTTGTGAGGGAACTGACACTGATTCTAGCCACTCAAAGTGCCTGAAAACAGATCCTGAGGCCATCACTCTCAAGTCCAGCCTTGGCAGACAAAAGAAAAATGAGGAGGAACCCAATAGAGTGATGCTTTTGGAAGCTTTCATCAAGAAATCATAAAGGATTCTCATAAGAAAATTTGAAATTTTCCCTGTTCTGACTTTTATCTAGTTCCCTGTGTAGAACTTGTAATGCTAACTACTCTTGCCTTTACTTCTCCTTCACATCTCCTTTTCACCAGTCAAGGACTTTCTTTTCTCCCTACAGATAAGAGCTATGCAATTTGAGAGTCTTTTAGGTAGACCCACTGAAGGGGTACCCCAATTGCCTCACCCTGCATCCATCCCTGTTCAGGATGGAAGAAGCCAGAGAGGTCTGCATCCTGGTTCCCTATCTACAAGCTGGGTAACCTCTTCAGAGGATGATGTTGTAAGAATAGGAAGTAGGAATTGGCTAGGCAGTTAGGATAAAAAGACTCCAAAGAAAAGTAGCCAGTTTCTTGGCTAAAAGTCAAAATGTCCTTGGGCCTCTTAGCATCATACTCTGTTCCAAAGGCCAAAAATGTCAAAAGCATTTGGGAGCTCTTATCTAATCCCTTAAATATTTTAGGGTTACCTATTCAGAGGAGGAAATGTTAGAGTAGCAAAAAGCCCCATTTAAAAAGAGTACATGAAGTTATCAGAAAAAAAGTAATGAGGAGATATGGGAGGAGTTGGAGGGGAGGGAGTGGAAGAAAGAAAGAAAGAAAGAAAGAAAGAAAGAAAGGAAAGAACACAAAGTTGTCAGAAAAAAGTGATGGGGAGATATGGGAGGTTTTGGAGGGCAGGGAGTGGGCGTGGATTTGACCAAAACACTTTATATGCATGTATGAAATTCTCAATAAAGTTTTTTAAAGATTAAAAAAGAAGCAGATGAGAAAGCAAAGAACTTCTCCAAATGCACCCATCCCCCATTCAAAATCCACATACCTTTTCACTGTTTTTAAAATGGGAATGCTTTTTTGTGAGAAAGTCTCTGCCCTAGTTTCCAAAGCCTGGGCTTCACTGAAACTATTGAAGGAGACAATTTCATTCATACAGCATTACACTTTGTATGCTTAGATCATTTATTACAGATGGTTGGGTTTATATGCAGCTACAGTGGCTCAGCTATGCTGATAAGGAAGTGAAACTATTACCATGGAAAAATTACCACAGTTATGTGATGTCCATACAATGGTATGGACATCAACAATTAACCGCACTGCTGAGATTGTGCTACAACACATCATTTCATTGAGAATGCCTTAGCCCTTGCCCATGCTTGCTGGAAACACCTGCTTTTGTAAAACACCAACTATTTAAATTTCCTCTAATAGCCAAAAGTGCACATTGTTATCTGTACTAAGTCTCAAATTCATCAATATGGTTGCTGTCAAAAGATGACCTTGAAAATCCTATAAGGACCTGGGTATATGTCTGGTTGGGGCCCAAAACTTCAGAGCTCTAACTCTTGTGAGGTCACTAGTGATTGATGAAGGTGATTATTACTATCTCTTCACCAACCTCAGGCTCCAGGTTTATTTTGGTAGAGGTGGTGGTGGGCAATAACACTCTGCATGAGCCAGTCACAAACGTAATAGCTGTCTTGGATTGTTTTTGTTTGATCTTTTACTTAAATGTGCTAAAAAGTTATTGATACAATAATTATTTGTATTAGGACATCTTTTCAACAAATTATAAATATTAAACATACAGATGCACACACAAAGCACTGAGTTTCTGAAATCTCCTGTTGGGAGGTTTTAGAGAATAACTCAAGCCAAACACCTACCATTACTGGCTACTTTTCATATATATACATACATGAATGTTTTAACAAGAAAGGGAAGTAGAGAAGGAGACTGATGAATAAAGCTTAAGGACTCGTCTAACTTCTTCTGAGCTGAACCTGGACATCGTAGGATGAGGGTGGGGTCTCCTCATCTAGACTGAGTTGTCAGGGCTCGGTCTCTAGGGCAGAGGCCGTCATCTCATTTATGACTGAGGACAAAGTTACTGAGTCCAAACAGCCTGCTCCACAGTGTCCTGGATGACTGTGATCAGCATGCAGACTGAAGAGGGGCCCCCCTACAAATGTACGCGTCAAGACACTCGTTAAGACCATGTAGAGGTCCACTTAGGAAGTCTATGAAAAGCTTTAAAACTATTTTGAGTTGGAATTATTGAGATAACTGGGAGGGCAGCTAGACAAGGTAATGATGTAACTGGCAAAAGAAGTAGGCGCATGAGATTTAACCTCTTTTTTTTTTTTTCCACTTTAGAGGACATTGTGGAAAAGACAGAGAATAAATTAGGTCTATGTGAGGAAAGGTCAAAGGCCATACTTGACTATGGCATTACCTGGAAGCTTAGAGGAAGCTTTCCTCTGTGTTGACCTTCCTCTTTATGAAATGGACACTGTACTCCAAGAGGACAAGTTACTCACCAGGGTTACCTTGGGACCTCGATGACAGTACTTATGGGCCTAGTAAAACAGTGTTTATTTAGCAAGTTCAGGCTTTTTCACAATAAGAAAATGTATTTAGCATTTAGAGAAATATAACCATGGCTTTAAATGTCAAAAGGATGAGACAAATCCCTTGGTTTTAGAAACCAATTTTTGTAACATTGTTAAGAGCGAATCAGTATTTTTTAAGTTGTATATTATAATCAGAAAACCTCATTGTTATAAACAGAGTGCCAATATCCATTTTCTCTAAATGTAATATAATTTTAACTTTAGGAATTATGATTAAGTTATAAATATGATAATAAAAAAATCCTCATTGCTGTAAACGGAGTTTAAATAGACACAGGGATAAACACCAAAAATATATTTTTGTATTAAAAACACATCATTTTTGTATTTTTACTGCCATATTTATAGAAATGTGTTTTTGGTTTTGTGACATAGCCTTTGAAGGGTGGCTAGCATCACTGGACATTCCTTGATTGCTGTTCTGTCTTTACTGGAGATCTTTTCTCATTCTATGATCACTATTCATTTGCATTTTCATCTTGGATTTCTTTTCTTAAAACACTGTTCCTACATGCATGAAATTGCTAGAATGAACCTTGTTATTTTTTACAATTAATATGTACAAATAAAAAAGCTTAAAATCTGTCAGTAGTCTGTCAGTAGTAAAATGCCTCATAAATTTTGCATGTCTCTCATTGTGCAAACTCATCTTGAACATTACTGCCATATCCCACACAACACCAGAAAACGCTGGCAAAACAGGGCTGATCACATTTGCTGGACATATTTACTAGAGCTGAGAGAGCCCAGAGAGAACAAGAATTTGTTAAAATCAATACAATAGATGTGGAGAGCAGGAATTGGAACAGTAGTCTCCAACTGCCAGGGAGAGAGGTGAAACCTTCTTGAACATTTTTTTTTGTGGGACTATGTAGGTCACTAATTAGTTTTCACATTCAGCCCTAGCCAAAATGGGCATTCTTTTGCTTTTAGGCACCATAGTTACCAGTCGGGATACAATATTAGAATTCTTGGAAATTTTATAAAAAAAAGAAAAACGAGTGAAGTTTAAACCTTATTTTTGTTCATTTTTTTCAATTTGTTATTATTTTATGTATTTGAGTGTTTAGCCTGCATGTGTGTAAGTGCACCTGTTATGTGTAATGCCTACGGAGTCCAGAAGAGGGTACCAGATCCCCCTAGAACTGGAGTTATAGATGGTTGTTACCGCCTACATGAGTGCTGGGAAACAAACGCAGGTCCTCTGCAAGAGCAGTTAGTGCTATTAACCCCCAAGTCATCTCTCCAGTCCCTAAACATAATTTTTTTTATCGCTGTGTCTTAAAAATGGGAAATTATTTCAACAAGAATATTATGTCTGGGAAGAAGTAGAACAGGAATAGATTAAAATAAATCATTTACTTTATAACTCAATTATTTCTACTTGGTCAATCGCTGCAAGAGTAATGCTGTTGTTCACGGTGTTCTGGAACCTGACAAGTTGACATCTCACCCTGATATTTTTGGTATAGTATTTGACTCTCTGTGTTTATAGGTCATATATACTATTGTATTCCATATCCTGGCTTAAGAAGGAAGATTAGATCTCAAACGTGATAAAACCTGTTTAAATATCAATATCCAAATTCCTAAGGAAAGTGATAATGATTTTTTTTGTATTTTAAAATTTTTTATTAGCATTACTTAAAAAACATGATTATGTTGAAAATCTTTGTATAGCTTGGAGAATTTGGAAAGGGAGTGAATACCAAACTCACATTACAGCAGCAATGATAAATTTCACAGTATTGTTGAAGTTTGATAGTACAGTTTTGTCAGTAAGAAATACTCAAAAAATTATAATAGACATATAGAATTGTGAACTTACATTCTTAAATACAATTACATTGTTTTATTTTATTTTTATTTTATGTGTATGAGTGAATTGCTTGCATGTGTGTGAGTACACCCGTGTCATGCAATGCCGAGGAGGTCAGAAGAAGGCTTCAGATTCCCCTGGAACTGGAGTTATCAACAGTTGTTAGCTGCCGTGTGGGTGCTGGGAACCAAATCTGGATCCTCTGCAAGAGCAGTCAGTGCTCTTAACCACTGAGCCATCTCTCCATCCTCATAATTACATATTTTTAGTTTAAGAATTAGATCAGTTTAGTTTAAAGTAGTTTTTAACCTTCCAAACTATGATTTCTATCTCTAGAAGTTCAAACTGTCTTTCCACATATCATCTGCAGGGCACCAGTAAAGACTCGCCAGGACAGTGGAAGAGTGATAGGAAAAGAACGGAAAACCTCTTGGTGCCTGGGGATGACACAGGACCATGTGTGGAGCCGAGACAATAGCTGACCCTTGGGGAAGGTAAGAAGTCCATTCTAGAGAGTCAGTCCCAGTCAGCACTCTGCTTTCTAATTGTAGCTCTTCTAGGATGGGTTTTGTGAGTGCTGGGAATCAAGCCCAGGACTCATACTCTAAAGGCACATTATCAAGAAAAAGTCACTAAGAAGGCCATTGCATAATCGGATAAGAGAGACCCATCCCAACAGATGAACAGCGCTCAACACAGAAATATGAAAAGCAGCATGTTTCTTCAACCAGCAGCAATTTTGATCTTCCTTTTATTTATTTATTTATTTATTTATTTATTTATTTTATTTTATTTTATTTATTTATTTGTTTTTTGGTCTTTTTGAGACAGTGTCTCCCTGTAGCCCCAGCTGTCCTAGAACTCACTATGTAGACCAGGCTGGCCTTGAACTCACAGAGATCTGCCTGCCTCTGCCTCCCGGGTGCTGGGATTAAAGGCATGCCCTACCATGCCCAGCGATCTTCCTTTTCAAAATCAATTCTTGATTAGCATACAAACAAATGTGTGTCATTGTGATACCTTCCTACATATTTATCACTGTACTTTGTTATGAATAAGTAGCAAAAATTGTTCACACTAATTGTAAATAAAATCGAAGTATTTCATGTGTACGCACTTTCACACTCACAAACATTCATACATTCATACTTAAATCCACACCATACAATATCAATTAAATTTTTTATTTACCTCTTCATCACCACAAACTGTACCATCAGCTACATAGGCGAGATCTTCTTCTCCGTGTATTTTTATGTGTGCAGATATGCACACCTTACCCCCTAAGTAAGTGTACTGGACATCAAAATCCTTTCTATGCACAAGTTTTGCACTGCTCCAGTGACAAACTATCTTCCCACAAAAGAGAGAACTGGGAAATAAAGCAGAAGAGTTACCATGTAGGAACATAATGTATTAAGTCAATAACGGCTAAAACTATAAGGATAAGGGTAAAGGTAACTCAAAACCTCAGGACAATATCAAACTGTTGGGGGCATGCACCATATTACAAGGTGAAATATGTGACCTCACTGTAAACAGTAGGTGCATCTCGCCTTTGCCTGTATTTTCAGAGCTTTTCATAGGCTACACATCACACACGGAAAGTGTATAGTTCCCTCAGTACATACGTAGAATTACAGCGTCCACGACAGTTTCCAAATTTGTCATTTTGCATATTTACTTCTTGTGAACACTGATAATTAGAACCCTTAGCATCTGAAAAGAAGAACTTCTGGTTAGTCATGCTAAAAAGAAAAATGTAATTTAAAACACTTAAAAGAGTAGGAAATTAGTACTGAGAGAGCTGGTGTCATATACTATTAAGATTAGGTGCTGTCTGTGGTCTATACAGAAGGAGACAGGGAAGGAATCGGCTAAAAACTGCTCAGAATGCAAAGATTTGTATTGTGGTGCAGCAATTGTTGGAAGGACAGTCCTCCTTCTCTAAAAGCATATTCACACTGTCTGCTCCTATTCTGCACATCCTCAACTTCGACGTGTTATATGGTTTCATTTTACAGTTACTTGGTCTTTTACCTTTTGACATAGAGCAAATTTGTTTTGATTTGTAATTTTATTTTCAAATGTGAGTGTAGATCAACATTTTCAGTATGATTACAAGATCAACTTGTGACTTAAAATGACTGCGAATGTGGAGGGGGCATTAACAGGGGAAGGGGGAGAAAGAGAAGGTTAGGGAGAGACAAGTGGAAGGAGGTAAATCATACTAAGGCTATTTGAAGAAGACATAGGGAAATATTTTATAAGATCATCTAAAAACACATATACTATATATCTGTATGTGCTCGTGTGTAACTAAAGGCTATCTAACAAAGATCTCAGTGTCGGGCAAGGGAAACCTCCCTTTAAATTGTTAGTCAGGATAGTCCAAGAGACTCCTAAAACAATATAGGCTGTTGCCATAGCCTTTGGTTATTTCCCAGAACTTGCTGAAGACACTACACGCTTCAAAAACTGAGCTGAGAATAACCTGGAAGCTTTCCTCTAAGAAAATAAGATCTCATAGAGCTGTCAGCTGCCAAGGGAGAAAGCCAAGCAATGGCAGTTTCTGCCTGTAAAACCTACGAACAACAGCAAACTGGCCCCGACAACATATCTGCAATGGTGCAAAAGTGACGCTTTTGTCTTGAGGGTAACCAACAGCTGTCTAGTTGGACTTAAGACCCCCTCAGTAGGAGGGACTTCACTCATGGCACTATAAACATGGCATAGCACACGTGGCTGGAGGAGTCACAGCCCCTAGTGGAGAGTCCACTATCATCACTTCCCTAAGCCAATGCAGCTTGTTAATGTGTTCTAAATATTTATCCTGATGGTCACAGGTCAATGTAGCTCTTGCCACTTATCAAAGAAGCCAGTGTGGATGGGAGAAATATTACAAGGTCCCAACACTAGACAAAGAATTACAGAAAACCAATGGCTGCTGAAGGAAGGACAATCAGTTTCCTTCAGGGAAGAGCTCCTTGATGGGGTATTCAATCCCAAGTGGTCAGTCCTAGACTCGATACATTATATACATGCATACACACACACACAGACACATACACACACACATAGAAATAATCACAGAAGAGGTCACAAAATTGAGAAGTAGGGTGATGTAGAGGTTGAGGGGTGATGAGGGCAGGGTGAGGGTGCTGTCAATACAGTGCTCATATGTACAACTGCCAAAAAAATAAAACAGAGTTTAAAAACTAAAACTGAAAAGTAACCCCTGAAAAAAGGTGCATGGAGTACATTTTCCAAAGAGCTCTGCGCACTGTCTGTCTGGGTCGCGGCAGATTCCTTTGTAACAAAAGGCCGTCCCATTATTGCAGGGTTCTAGGTCCGCAGCTTGAGTGTCAGGCACGCAGTATTCAGATGATCCGTTGCAGAACTCTGGGAAATCACATAGGTCTTTACTTTTCCTACATAATTTTCCTCTTTCAGCTATCTATGAGACAAAAAACAGACATGTATTTGTCAGACTAAGCCAGGTTTTATTGCCCTGAATGTTGGGAGACAATGAATGGCTTTACTGCTTTGAACTATCATACAATATGAACTAAAAGGGGTATGAAAGATGCAGTGATATATCCACACCGCAGAGGGAGAAAGCTTGGTTGAGAATTGTCAGGAAAAGCAAGGACATTCAAAAGACATGCAGAATGAAAACCACAAAGCCACATTCACCCTCCACTTCCTCTTCTGTGCGTTTGTTCTCCTTTGCTTGTCCACTCATTAAGATACAACATACGGGGCTGGAGAGATAGCTCAGCAGTTAAGAGCACTGACTGCTCTTGCAGAGGACCCGGGTTTGATTCCCAGCACCCACATGGCGGGAATCCAAAGCCCTCCTCTGACCTCCGCGGCATTGCACGACACGGGTACACTCACATACATGCAGGTAATACACTTGTGCATGTAAAATAAAAATAATAAATGAAATATTTTTAAAAAAGATACAACATACATAGCTATAATTGAACACTGATCGTTTTTAATGGCCTAAAGGAAGAAGGACGCACTGGCTATGAGCATCCTCATCACAGTAAGCAGGGCAGTTCTGTTTACTGCTGTCTTTCCTATCTTTGCACGTGGACTTTGATCTAAACCAAAAATGTTTTGGAAAACATTCTTGGATCAAATTTCTAAATACTTGACAAGGTCTGGTAGAGGTTCTCCTGACAGAGAAAACAGCGAGCCTTTTGTACTCATGACAAATATTAATGAGAACAGGTTACACCACCTTTGCGTAAACCAGATTCTCTGCCATTGTACACAGTGAATTCAGTGTGCACTGATATAATACATCTAGTCGTCACCACCGAAGCCTTCCGAAATTACCTGAGCTGTGACTCCTCATATGAAACAATGACCTTTTCAGAAAATCTTAGTCTCCACGGTGCTTGACTTAGAGACAGAGGCTAAGACAAGAGCTCCTGTGGGAGGAAAAGGAGGAAGGACTACCGCCCAGATGTGGGCACTCTAGGTAGGCCTTTCCATGCACAAACCTTGGCAACAAATAGCCTTGGCTTTCATCATAGGACTTTTGAGTAAACCGTCAGGCCGCCTGCTGCATTTTCCTGGCTCCTCTGCATTCATTTGTTTTCTGTGATTTTCAGAATGAGAGGTTTTTTCATCTCTTTGTTAGCACATTATGTGAACACCAGGTGTGGGCGACATGTTTACTTCTCATTTTATTCTAAGTCATTTGATCCTGAGAAGCCACACACCCAGGCACGCCTAAGAATTGACAGCACAGAAGTAAATTTGAACAATACTCCATGCAATAGTTGGAGATGTCTTTGGGACAGAGTTAAACATACAGTAAAAAGCATGAGAACTAAGAAAGAGACCCCAGGGAGCCCGGGGATGCTGGCCTCAAAGTCAGAGAAAGAAGAAAATAACCGTAATGCTTGCTCCGTGGAGATATAACACGTATCCTCTAAAACCACGCTCCAGATATTCAGAGGTGATGAAGAATGTGAACGAAAGAAAGCTTTCCAAAGAAATTATGCATTAGAATATCTGAAAGATGTTTCCAAAAGAGACAATAAAAGGAGCTACCGCAGTCCCTGAAAGGCACTCGCGGTGTGTGGAGCCTTACCAAGCATGATCTTTTGTCACAGCAGGGCCCCGTGCCACACTCCGCAGACTTAATCAGAGTACAGTCCTTGGGGTCACAGCAGTTCACATGAGTGCATGTCTGAGAGCAAATACAATCAAGTTAAACACAAGAATTTAAAATCAGACATATGGTCTTGTTTCTTTTCAAAATACATGTGCATTTCATGATGAGTTCAGGCTGGTTTATTAAGCAGCGTCTAATAATCACACCCTTATCAACAACAGATCTTGTTGCATCAATATTTTTAAAACCTGCTAACAGATATCATAAAACAATAATTTAAACTTTTTGATTTATTTTTATTTTATGTGTATGAGTGTTTTTCCTGCATGTATGTTAAGTGTACCTATGTCTTGCAAAGCCCACAGAGGCCAGAAAAGGGCACTGGGTTCCCTGGAACCGGAGTTACAAACAGTTGTTAGCCCCATGTGGGTTCTGGGAATCAAACCCAGATCCTCTGGAGGAACAGCTAGTGCTCTTATCTGTTGAGTCATCTCTCAGTCCATAAACACAATAATTGAGGGAAAGCTAATAGAATTGTTTGGGTGGCCTTAGCCCAGAATAGTACTATAGTTGGCCTAGATGGCAGTCAGATCTACTATCAATGGAAAATGCAGATTGCCTGCTTGTACCAGAGTTAGTTACTGGAAGGCACAGGCTTACGGATCCTACTCTTACAAGTTCTGGCATGTCTCAGAATTGCAGGCATTCCTGCACTATGACAAAGCGGGTTGTCACTAGGTAAAGGATGACCTTCGTGGCCTGCTGACATGATTGCTTTGCTCCGTCTGTTGACTGAACAAGTGAGATGTGTGATGGACGACACCTGCTGCACTTAGAAAAATGGATCTGGTGTGGTAGAGGATACTTACAAGAACTCTACAGACAAGACATTTGATTGAAACAAGCATCCTCCTCTGGTTTGTTTTTGGTATATTTGATTCTGATGGGTTCAAGTTTGGGAGGCTGCTGTAAGGAGGACACATCTGGTTCTTCATTGTGCCCTTCTGACAGTCATCAAAACCTGGCTGCACTGCATCCTCTGGAGGTTCTAACACGTTCGTCTGCAGAAATCTCTTGCACATCCAATAGTCTACAGTTGGAGTTTTTACTCAAACACAAACAGAACCAAACACGCATTCAGCAGATCTGACATCCAAAACTGTTAATTCCACACTGAGATTAAATAAATCCATTTGGAGGTGACAGTAAGTCATAGTAAACGCCCACAACTTTGGTCAATTTTTGAAACTGAGAATGAGCAACGACGGTAGCATTAAGTCTGACCTATGCTGCCTGCTCATGTATCGCTCAGTATCTCTACATAGCAAGCTGCAACTTAACTTAATCTGCAAACTACAACCTGTTTAGAGTTCACTTTTTAAACAAATCTGGTTTTCAGCCAATGATAGCCATTGAGCATTGGCCGGTCACAAACTGGCAACTGTTGAGATGACCCTGATGGAAGACAAATGCCTCCCCGCAGCAGAGCGGTCAGGGGTGGATGCCACCCGTGTGGCTTTGCCCTCCCCATCCACTTTCTGTCTCTACTGCCATTTGCTCGCAAGGCTGGCCAGGGCTCTCGGAAGTCCTCCTGCCCTAGCGGCTCCAACATCCTTAGTTGCCCTTTCCAAAATAAGCTCTGCCAAATTTAATTTGTGTCAGGTTCTTCTAAGAGATGGACAAAGTTAAAGAACAAAACAGAATTTTTAAAAATATTTTATTTATTATTTTTTTATTTTATGAGTGTATTGCCTGCATGTATGTGAGTGCATCCGTGTTGTGCAATGCTGCAGAGGTCAGAAGAAGGCTTCGGATTCCCCTGGAACTGGAGTTAAGGACGACTTGTAGCTGCCATGTGCGTGCTAGGAATCGAACCTGGGTCCTCTGCAAAAGCAGTCAGTGCTCTTAACCACTGAGCAATCTCTCCAGCCCCCCAAATAGAATTTTTAAAGAAAAATATTTAAACAAGGATTCACAAGTTTTCATCACACACACACACACACACACACACACACACACCCCAAGTTAGTGGCCTTAAAATGTAGCAATCAAATGTATCCATACCAACACAAGGAGAAACATCTACAATAAAAAGGTTTCAAGTAAGAAAAGGGGGGTTTCCTCACTACCAAGATAAAGCTGAAGTTATCAACAGAGGCCAGATGAAAATTTTAACAAAGAATCACTAGACAGTTTTGGGGTTGTTTTGGGGTTAGGATGGAGGGGAGACAAAGGATGAATGACTGTGGATGTGAGCACCCTTGTTGGGCTCGTTCTATCATCGAAGATGAAAATGTACAAATCAGTAACTTTCTCCATATGCCAATTCTGGGAAGCTGAGTTAATATAAACCATATTTCCATAAATACAGTGAGTGAATTCAGGAAATAAAGTGCTGATGACAACATACTTAATATCTTTGTATGTCAGTTGCCATTTCAGAGAAGTCGAGGAATGATCTAGGCGATGATTAGATTACAAATGCCACCAAAGTTCACAATCTGGCTACTAATAATGATGACTGTTTAATCCATGCTAACTTTATCCATAATTTATATTTGCAAATTCAAAATCATCAGTTGTGTGTCACAAACTCTCACAGTCTCCCACGTTACATGAAACCAAATCTATATTTCAAGGTAAACATCAGATATTAGCAAATTCCTAAAATAAACTTTTAAAATAAATAATGACAATCTTGGTTGTATTCTAAGGTTAGTCATAAAGAACTTTTTGCTGTAGCTTTGCAGCAGTCTCACCATGTACCCCAGGCTGTCCTGGAATTGCCAGCCCCCTTGCTTCAATACTGGAACATTCAGGTGAGTGTATCCCCCATCCCCAGCTCTCTCCCTTAGACAGTTGATAAAGTAGTTCCTCATCTTCAAAACCATGTCTTCCTCTTTAATATCACATTTAAATCTACAAGACTATATGAGAAATGTAGACCAAATGTCTGGATAAGCTGGAGACATTTGTGACTCACCTCTGCTGGGCCACAGTCACACTCCTCTGGAACCTCCAATTTGTTGTTGCCACAAGTTGCCATTTGGGGCTGGGCAACAACTTTTAACACTTGCTGCTGCTGCTGCTGAAGGCATTCAGACTCAGGCTGTGAAGCCAGCTGCTTATATTCGCTCATGCTGCAGCTGCTAAAAATCTTTATACCATGGGAATGTCTAAAACAAAATTAATACCCCTCAGATAAATGAAATAAAATTGTTTCCAAGTAAGACTCTAATAAAATGCATGAATTCTGATGACTTACCTTAGAGAAGAGCCCTGGAGAAGAGAGGAGGATCTCTCATTTTAATGCAGGTCGTAATGAAAGCAGTGAGTTCATCTCTACTATAACTTGTTATAATGCACACAGAAAGCAGACTTAAAGTGGTAAGGCAGCACTAAGCAGTGCGTGGCACTCACAGGAAGACACTGGGTTCTTTTCAAGATAGTTATTACTCTAAGAAGTTCAAATGAGCATGAAGAAGATGGAACAAGCCAGAGAATTTAAGTGGAAAATTTTAAAGAATCAAAGATGATTATGTTGTTGGTAACAAAAATTAGTGCAATATTTTGACACAGAAGGAAATAAAAAAAAATCATTGAATTTTGGAGCTGGACAGATGGCTCAGCAGTTAAGAACACTGGTTGTTCTTGCAGAAGATCCAGTTCAAATCCCAACACCCACATGACAGCTAACAACTGTCCGTTAACTCCAGTTCCAGGGGAACTGACAGCCTCTTCTGTCCTCCATGGGCATTGCTGACATGGGTGCACTTACCTATATGCAGGCAATACACGCATTCACATAAAAAATAATAAATAAATAAATAATTTTTTTAAAAAATGTGCAAGTCTTTGATTCATTTTATTTTTCAACTCTTTGCTTGGTTTGTTTCTGTCCTTCTGGAACAGTGATCTCTCTATATTGCCCAAGCTGGTCTATGAGCCTCAATGGATTCTTCTACTTCAGCCTCTTGAGTCCTTAGACTACAAGTTCATGATGCCAATCCAGCACCTAAATTTCTATACATTTAAGTGCACAATTTTGTGAGTCTTCTGTTTAATTCTGTAACAAACTCCAGTTTTGCTCAATAATAAAATATAATCCAAGAAAAAAATTTCCTTCTTGAAAGCAGGAATGATGAACTCCCCAGATGGCTGAGCAGGAAAAGCATCTACCACCAAGCCTGACAGCCTGGGTTTGATCCCGGGAACCCACACAATGTGGAGGAGAGAAGTGACTCCCTAAAGCTGTCCTCTAACCTCTGCATATGCAAGTGCACCCACACTCATACGCACAATAATTAAAATAGTAATAAATACAAAATAAAATTTTAAAAGGAGGGGCTGGAGAGATGGCTCAGCAGTGAAAAATCACTGGCTGCTCTTGCAGAAGACCCAGGTTTGGTTCCCAGCACCCACATGGTGGCTCGCAACTGTTCCTGGCTCCAGTTCCAGATGAACACATAGGTACATGCGTATATGCAGGCAAAACACTCATACAGATAAAATAATCAAATAACAGTTAAAAACTAAAACAGTGAGATGATAGCACTGTGTCCTAATTTTTGTACGTTAGCATGTATACCTTACATATATGCGAATCCTATCACACTCCTTTCAAAATCACTTGCTTTTTACAAGGGAGCTGGGAATTCAAACTCTGATCCTCGTGGCGGCACACCAAGCAGCCTCACCCAGTGAATCATCTCCCCAGGTCCATCTACTCGGCTTAAGGTCTCAATGTGCTCCTTCTATTTTTCCCCAACCTAGCCACTTCATGCAAGCATTTCATCAGGGAATGGCCTTACATTGTTATGTTTAATTAGTGTTTTCCACTTTGCAATATATGCTAGATTTTTGTGTTTTGTTTTCCTAGGTTTTTGGAGGAGACTAAGAACCGGCACTTCTGATTTAAGGCTTTTCCACCTGGCTTTCATCTTCTCGCTCCCACTCCTCCCTCTGCAAGAAGCTGTCACGTTCGGGCTCCTTCAAGGTACTGCTCCCTCCTGCTCCCCTCCTCTGGTTGCTCCTCCGAGAGTCACCCGTTAACATGACTAGGACTGCACCTTCATCATAAGCTACTCTTTTCACCCCAGGACATCTCTCAAAATAATCTGTGCATAATTTCAATTCTCTTCCATTAGCGGAAGTGTTGTATGGTATGGACCACTTATCCTTGACTTCCAATCTCTATAACTTACGTACCTGCAGAGTTGAAATTCCAACACATGACTCAGAGTAAATTGGATTTAACAAATACAGTTTTACAAGTTTCTCCAGATTGTCTCACTCCCCGATAGTTTCAATAGTACTAAATTCCAATACACAAAAGCATTTGAATGACTTCTCAGAGTCCTTCACTCTCAATATGAATGAACTGCTGTCAATTCCTATGGAGCCTTCATCTCCGTCAGAGAACTGTGCTTCAGCTCTCGTTAACATACTCTATGTCCACTTTGTGGACGGTTGTTACTATCCATGCTGCAAAGTTGATTAAATTGTATGCTGTTGCATCTGTTATAAAATCCTGTCTTCCAATTCAGCAAACCTTCAAGTTCTGCCTCACACCAATGTCTGACCCCTCATTCCCCCGAATCATTCTTCTGCCTCACTGTGCTTTACCTGTTTTCCCTGTGCCTAAAATATTCTTCCTTACCATCCCAGTCATTTATATTTTCTTTTTTAGTTCCCTTTACTTGTCTCCACAGCAGTGCACACTACAGAATCACCTCACTCCCAGGTCTGCTGAACTTTTGAGCTTTTCGATATTTCAGTATCATTTCACATTCTACCTTAGAAAGTATATGAATAATTCTAACAAGACTCCAGCAAATCCCATAACATCCCCATCAATATCAACTCCTTATACTCACTGTTAAGCACATTTTCTGTGATATCCTAAACTCATTCTCTTTAATGCTTCTTAAGCAATTGCATATGTATTTATTTAAAATATTCTCACTCAAATTTCATTGTGAGAAAGTGTGTGTCAAACATACTACAAATATATTCCAAGAAAAGCACCTTACATTGCTTCAGGATTCATTATGCATGTGCTTCCAGGGCAGAAGCAGTTGTAGACATCGTCGTACGTCAAGCCCAGGTGAATTCCAAGCAGCTGTGCCAGAACAACAGCCAACGCCTCGATAGTTAATGTCCTCAAATGCTAAGTGGAGGAAGAGAACAGAACTGTTGTTGAGTCATTCCTGGTCTTTTCATTACTCACGAGATTTGCTTGGCAATGACACTAAATTAAAATGCAAATGCAGGAAAATGTTTTACCAAAGCTATTTTGTTGGGAATGTTAAAAAACGGACAATTTCTTTATTCTTTGTAAATGATAATGTTTTAGTCCAAATGACATTGACATGTTACTGAATAAAATTCAATTAAGTATCAAAAAAATATTTTGGAAGAACAATTTCAGTAACTTATTTTTCAAGACAAAATTAGAAAAACATTACAGACCATGACGTCTTAGTTTAGCCCTCCAATCAATTTTGACTTCAGAAATTCTTTGAGCAAAGATTCAAGTTATTTCTCTAAAAGCAGGATACAACGATTTGCCATCCTTGTTTGTTCCAATACCTAACAGCCAAGCTTCTTCGTAATACCTATAGCTTTGTGAACTCCTGCGCATCGCAGGGCGAACGCATCAGCCCTGCTTCCACCCTGGCTTCTCTCCATGGCCCTACATATTTAAGCTTTCCTAAGGGTGGGTTCATTTTCTTAAATCGCTGGAATTGTAACTACTGTCAACCTGATGGGATTTAGACTTGCTGTGGAAATAAACCTCTGGGCTCCTCTGTGAAGAACTAAGTAGTTTAGGTTAAGGTGGAAAGACCCATCTGAAATGTGGGCAGCACCATTCCATGGAATAGGGAAGATAGAAACTAAAATAAAAGAAACAGAAAATTTATGACTGAAATTATAATAGATAGATTTAAACAAAGAGAAGACAAGCTGGGCATTGGCAATCACATGTCTCTGTTTCCTGACTGTGGAGGCAACATGATCAGTTGCCTCAAGCTCCTCCTGTGACTTCCCCACCATAATGGACTATACCCTCACACTGTGGCCAAGTAGAACCTTCTCTAAGTTGCTATTGTCAAGTTATTGCTGCTTGATTACAGCATTAAGTAACTAATACATCATCCATTGTTTAATTGTACCACAATTTGATTACAGACACAGTTGCTAAGAAGCACACTGGTTACTTGTAAATTGTTACAGCTGTGAACCAAGCTACTGTGAATCTTTACATGCATGTTTTGCACATATGTTTATTCTTTTCAATTCAGTTGAGTCAACAGCAAGGACCACTGATGGCTCCTATGTGAAGAGTAGGCCAATTACTCAAAACTGTCTTCCAAATCGACTCTGCCATTTTTCAGTCAAGTCAGGGATGAACAACAATTCCTATTTTTTGACATCACAGGGATGCGGCTCTGTTGGTGTTCTGGGGCTCCAGTAGATACTGCCTGGGAGTGGTGAGGTGCTCTCTCATTTTGTTACTGATCTCAGTAGTTTCCTCAGTAGAGGAAACATTATTTCTTCTGCATAGGCATGCAATGATAACAACAGATAACTCGGCATTGTGTGAATGTTCTTTCTGAAAGTATTTTCTTTTATTCTTAGTTTACTGAGATCTTGAAATTGCTTATGTGTACTACAGAATCATACGAGATTTCTTCCCTCACCTACAAGATGTTAAATTCTGAGCAATGAGCCAGAATTAGGCATCTGTAATAAATCCCACAAATAATTTTCAAGAAGATAGAAACTAAAATAAAAGAAACAGAAAATTTATGACTGAAATTATAATAGATAGATTTAAAAGAACAATCATAAACATGATCAAAAAATTCAACAAATTTAAAGAACACACATATAAACAAATCAAAGAACTAAAAGAATTAGGGATAAAATTCTGGCTGAATTCACAGTAATATTGAAGGAAATTTAGGATGAAATGAAGAAGTGAAAAACTCAATAAGCAACATGAAATGACAGGAGAAAGCCTCACCAATAGAATGAATGAAATGGAAAACAGAGTATCTGTTGGGGACCTCTGTTGTGTAAAGTAGAAGTTTCTCCATGTCCGGATAGCTCACGAGCTCAGAGACTCCTTTCACAGCAGGGTGCCTTCCCGGCATTTTTCCTGACTCCTTTGTGAAGTAGCAGCCACAGGAATGTAGCCTCCGGCTGTGTAACTATTAGGCTTTCCTGTGTGATTTTCAAGCAGTTTGGCAGCCTGGCGGGAGCCCATTTCCACACGCAAATGAGGCCTATCAGCTAAAGCCTTTTACCACCACCTCCACAGTATAAGTATCCTAGTTCCCTCTCAATTATTGAAGGAGCTGGATCACTAGGGGCAAGGAACTGGATCACGGAGACTTGGAGCCACACAGAGCCATTGAATAAAGAGCTGTAACACTAAGTCTGACTGAGCTGAGTCTTGTCTCACTGTCTACGATCCAGCCTTCCCAGGAAGAGCTGTCTTTCCGTCACCGACTCATGGATCCCAGCTTTAGCCGCCTCACACTCTCCCGCGTGATCCAGCGGCTGGTGGATTTCGCATCTTGACGAAAGTACACGGGTGAAATTAGGGCGGGACTCGGCTGGGCAAAGCCCCAGCAGCAGAGAGCCACGGAAGACGCAGGGAAGCAGCGGAGAAGCAGAGACCCGCTGCTACAACAGAGACGCGGAGCCGCAGTGCTGCGAGACCTTCAGCACCTCAGTGGCGGACAGCGATGCGGGACGCAGTCAGGCCCACCGTGCCGCTTCCAGGGCGCGCAGAGAGCCCCGCGCGCCCCATAAGTATCAAGATTGGAAAACACAGTTGAAGAACTGGACTGCTCAAGCAAAGAATGTGAGAAATTGAAATAAAAAAACTACAGAAATGTAATATGCAGAAAATGTGGGACACCATGAAAAGACCAAATTTATACATCATAGGCAGAGGAAGGAGAAGAATCTCGGGTAAAGGGCACTGAACAGATTTTCAACAGGATTATAGAAGAAAATTTCTCCAAATTAAGGAAAGACATACACCTACAAATACGAGAAGCACATACACCACCAGACAGACAGGACCAGGAAAGAAATGTCCTGCAGGGTATCATAGTAAAAACACTAAACATACAGAACAAAGATAGAATACTAAAAGCTGTAAGAGATAAACAACAAGTCACATATAAAGGAAAACCCATCAGGATCACAGCTGACTTTTCAATGCAAGCTATGAAAGCCAGAAGAGCCTGGACCAAAGTATTCCAGTTATAAATGATCATAGATGCCAACTCAGATACTTTACCCAGAAAAAATATCTATTATAGTTGAATGGGAAGGAAAAAAATCTTCCATGACACCAATTCATATCCACAAAATGAGTCCTTCAGAGAAAACAAAGGACTGAAGCAATCAAAAGGATGGAAAAAGGAACGACTGTACCCCAGAGGCAACAGAAATTACGTGAAAGTATAATTGTGGAAACACGAAATTAGACCAAGAATGCAAACAGAAATTAAAATGTTAGCAATTAATACACATCTTTCAATAATAAATTCAATTATCTGAACTCCCCAGTCAATGACACAGGCTAGTGAAAGGGATTAAAAAGCAAAATCCATCTTTTTTTATCTGTAAGAAGCTCATCTCACCTTCAAGGCTAGATACTAACTTAAGGTGAAAGGACAGAAAAAAAATATTCCAAGCAAATGACACTAAGAAACAAGCATGGGCTGCCATTCTAATATGTGACAAAATAGACTTCAAACTAATCAGAAGAAATAAAAAGGATCACTTCATTCTGATCAAAGGCACCACTGAGCAAGAAGATATCACAATCATGAACATATATGCACCAAATTCTGGTTTATCCAATTTCAAAAAATCACCACTACAGGACCTTAAGACACAGATTAAACCCAACTCAGTAATACTGGGGACTTCAGTACCCCACTATCTCCATTAGACAGGATAAATGGACAAAGAATAAAGAGACATCTGAATTAAATGATACCACACATCAAATGGACCCAACAGGCATGAATATTCCACCCAAGCACCAAAGAATACACTTTCTATACAGCACGCCATGGAACTTTCTCAAAAACTGACTACATACTGAGGCACAAAACAAATCTCAACAAATACAAAAAAACTGAAATAATTCCATGCACTTTATCAGACCACAGTGCAATAAAGCTTAAGATCAACACCAAGTTTGTACCCACACAAACTCATGGCTATCAAACAACAAACTCCAGAATGATGAGTGGAATTCATGGAACTAAATGAAAAGAATAACACAACAAAACAAAATCTTTGGGACACTAAAAGCAGTCCTAAGAGGTAAGTTTATAATTCTAAGAGCCTACATTAAAAAACAAAAACAAAAGGAAAACAAATAAATGACTTAACACTCCAACTCAAGACTCTGGAAAGGCAAGAACAAATGGAACCCAACCCAGCAGACGGGAAGAAATAACAAAAATCTGAGCAGAAATGAATGAAATATAAACACAGCAATACAAAGAATCAATGAATCTAAGAGCTAGACCCTACTGCTGAAGACAGGACATACTTGGGATACAGGACTTAGAGAAATGGATCAGAAGCTGACCTGGAAGCCTTCTACCTGAAGTTTAGCTCTCATAATGCTAGATGATAATATGCAAACTGTTAAGGGAGAAAATCAATGAACGGTCTACCCTAGCCCTAAAGCCCAATAACCACGACAACTGGCACAACAAACTACCTCTACTGGTACAGTAGTGGCACGGTTATCTGGGGGGTAATCAACAGCCATCTAACTAGACCTAAAGTCTTCTCAATAGGAGTGAACTCATGGGTAGCACTGTAAATTCAGTCAAATGCACATGGCTGGAGAAGGGATAGATCCTCAAGAAAACCCTGCCTCTCTCTCTAGACAAATGAAATTTCTTACCATATGCTAAATATGTATCCTTATATTTACAGACAAGTGCAATGTATACCACTCATCAAAGAAGCTTTTTTTTTTTTTTGCAACAGATGGAGGCTATTGCAGAATTCTACAACTGGTTGGATACAGAGACTATACATCAGAGAGATGTCCAGTCCTAGGTGACACATCTACAGTTGAACTTCTACACCTAAGGTTCATGGAACATAGTGGAATGA